TACTACAAAGGCTTGCTAGGCTCTACTAAGGCCTGCCAGCCGTTGCTAATGCTTGGCAGGCCTTGCTTTCCGACCATCAGCTTCTGCTAGCAAACTCCATTTGCCATACCCCCTTAGGGGGGTCCCTCTAAACCATAATTCATAGGAACCAAGCCCTGGAAGCCGACTTTGGTTTCGCCCTTGACCTCGACAAAGCCGAAGAAGCTGTCGTCCTCGTGGACTTCGGGTTTTTCAAGTCTTTGCGAAACTTCTAGAAGTCCACAATGGCTCAAACGTTGTGGAAGTTCTTCTGGTTCTGGATCATCTTGCTGCAAAGAGATTTGGACGCCAGCTTGCAGGTGTTGGTCTGATCTTCTGCCTCCAGCTTTTGTGCTCGCACTTGCCGTAGGCGTTTCCGAAGCTCTTCATGAAAGGCTCGCAGCTGAACATGACCGCCCGATGGATGTCGAAGATTCTTTCTCCAAGCTTCTACACGTGGATCTCTAGGCACAAGCTTCTTCGGCCGGGACACTGCACGCTTCTGCAGCTTAGCAGAAGTGTGGGAGCTGAGCTCTTGCGGGCAGTCATCGTGCAAATGGAAGCCCACCACAAACTTGTGCATGTCGAAGAGGATGTTGTAGGTGACCTCCAGCAGGTAGCAAAACTCCTTTTCTGCTCGTGTAGTCGACGTAGAGTTCTCTATGACCGAATGGTACTGAGAGAAGAATGTGCGAGTTTTCCACTTGCAGGTCGTAGAATTTCTTGTTTAGATCGGAGTTGTTGGCTTAGACGTACGGCTGGAAGATGTTGGAGAAACCTCCTCTAATGTTGCTCTCTGACCAAGTCATGCATTTCGCACGTTTTGAATCTTAGCCCCTTGGAGGCGCTGGGCAGCGTGACGTCAAAGGCAGAAGATCTTGAAGTCGGTCACAAAAGTCTCGCCGTCCGAGATCGGCACGTCTCTGAGATGGTCGTAGTATGCCTCCTTGGGCAAGAGGGCGGAGAGAGTCCAGCACTCGAGACCGGTCATCGCCTTGAAGGGCATGGGCATTTTTCGCAGCAGGAGGGAGCATCTGCCGCCTGTCCTGATTGACCTCCCGATCGGCAGCCGCAAAGAAGGGGTGCCTTTCAGCGAAGCAGGGCAAGGGTTCGCGAAGCTGGACTTCATCTCCTGGATGAGATCGGCAAGGGAAGCCTTGAAGATGTTGATGGAGTCCCTGAAGATGATAGGGTCCAAGTTCTCCCTCGACTTGTGCAAGAGCCTCACTTTCAAGGTGGTGAGGTCCATGTTGTAGTGGTACTCGCTCTGCGGGTCCTCCTCTTGCTCTTCTTCTTCATCTTCTTCAGCTTCGAGGTGCTGATTGATCGACCTGAGGAAGAGGTGGAAGTCGTAGCGCATGCCGTTGTGCAGGTAGACGACCATGTTTTTTGGCTTCACGATGGGAGGATTGCAAACATCGCACAGGGCTCCGAGGTACTGCCCAGTGCCGTGGCAGTGATGGGCGTGTTTCTCCACTTTGTTTCTCCCGCGAGCGTGTCCGAAGACCGCACGGCAGACCTCGCAGGACCTCGCCGCTGTATGACGCCTCGAGTCAGAGTCGGTCATCGCCAAGGGTTTGGGGTTTTTGAGCCACTTGTGGTAGTGCCCGTAGAGAGCCAGGGTGCTTCTGAGAAAGCGTTCCACCACGTCGTGTCGGCTGTCACCTGGGAGGGCTCGGAACAAAACGGCCTTGAATTCGCTGGGCACCTCGTAGCCGCTCCTGCCTTTCGCGACGTACATGATCGAGGCGACCTCCCCCTGGAGGCCGAAGACCGCGGAGCCGGTTTCGGGCTTGACGGAGAAGGTCTCGCAGTCGCAGCCCAGCACCAGAGGATGGAACATGGCCGAGGGACCGACCTTGAACTTCATGGTGTTGTGAGCGCCGTCGAAGTCGATCTTTGTGTTGGTCTTGGCGGCAGGGTCCATCACGCAGAGGCGCTGCTTCAAATGTTGCCTCAGGTTGGCGAGGCTCCTGAAGTTGTGCTCGCAACGGTGGCAGGTGTGCAGGTCGCCCAGCTTCTTCTGACAGTGGGAAGGCAACGCCCTGCTCCTGGCGCTGCTCGCAGAAGTGAAGTTGTAGATCAGCGAGTAGTGTCCGCGATGCAGCAGGAGGACCACCTCCTTCGGGGCGTACTCCACGGATGGATGGTAGATCGCCCTCAGAGTGCCGTACTGCGGGCTGGAGGCATCGTCGAGGTTGACCTCATAGACGGACTCGCCACTGACCACTCGCCACTCGCCACTGAGCACTGACCACTCGCCACTCGCCACTCGCCACTTGCAACTCGCCACTCGCCACTCACCACTTGCAACTCGCCACTCACCACTCGCCACTCGCCACTTGCAACTCGCCGCTCGCCACTTGCAACTCGCCACTCGCCACTGGCCACTCGCCACTGACCACTCGCCACTCGCCACTTGCAACTCGCCACCTGCAACTCGCCACTGACCAGCCACTGAGCACTGACCACTCGCCACTCGCCACTCGCCACTCGCCACTCACCACTGACCACTCGCCTCTCGGCACTTGCAACTCACCACTCGTCACTTGCAACTCGCCACTGACCACTCGCCACTCGCCACTCGCCACTCACCACTCGCCGCTAAGCACTCGCCACTCGCCACTTGCAACTCGCCACTTGGTTTGATTCTTCAGACCATGACAAGATTTGGAAAGTACAACTTTAAAATGCTTGATGAAGGACTTGGTAATTGGTGCGTTGGGGGCAGATGTGGAGCTCGATGAGATGAGCTTCCGTCGAAGGCCCTTGACGACAAGATACTTTGGAATCGTTATGCGGCAGCCGTTAAGCGTGGTAGTGCTCTGTCCATTGATGAGCTCAAGAAGCTTGTCGTTATCTCCAAGGGAAGTAGTCGCTTGGCACAAGGCTCTATGTGCCATACGGGTCCGCTAAAGCTTACAAGCGCTTCTGACGAACCGTTGCCAGCTTTGTACAGCGGTGCTTTGGCAGGTCCTTCGTTTTCCGAGTTGAAGCTAGCCCACAGCAACGTCAAGCATAAGCCGCCTTACCCAGAGTTTGCCAGAACGTGCCGAATGAAAGTTTGGACAGGGCGGGCTTGGACCGAAGAAGTCAGGGTAGGTAGGGTAGGTACTCAGAAGCTTGATGGATTCTTCGTATCGTTGAGAAGAGAGGTCGGCAAGCGGTCTTTCAACACAACAGGACCCACTCCTGAAACAGCGCAAACTTTCGAACAGCAGCTTCACGAAAGGATGCGGGTATTTCAGTTTTTGTTTTGGTTTTCCCATGCAGACTGTTTCCAAGTTTTCGCAGCACTTCGCCAGGCTGAGCG